CCACCTTCTAAGCACCTGGTCTAGTTCAGCCGCACTTTTAGTCACTTTTATCGCTATAGTTTTCGCTAATTATCACTTCCTTTCATCGATTCCCTGCTGCCTTTATCATCTGCACGAGACAAATGGAACGAAGTTGGGGAAATCTGCATTCAGACGCCACTTATAGTTCTTGCCTTTATTATCAGTTCATCATACCACCCACACCAGTGTCCCATCCAACCCCTCTCCCTGCACAATGTAAAACCCACACTTCGACTGTCATGGCGAAGGCTGTTAGTATCTAATTGTTAGCGCAGGCAATCGTAATGAAATTGGTCACTTTTGCGTTTCGACGCCCTTAGTAAGCTCGTTTTACTATTTATAACCTCAAGCCACCTGCTATCGCGGTCCCCACCCTGTCCCTTTCACTCCTTCTGATTTTAGTGGTTCTTCCACCAACGGGAACGATTATGAACTTCTAGACACACGAAAGGCTCAGGATTTACTCTTCTCAAAAGCGGTTTTGGTGCGAAACCCTATCATAGTACACTGCGGTACACAATAGATTACACCCTATAAAAATTTTTTTTTCAAACGAAGCAGAAACTTTCATTGTCACTGCCGTTGATATGTTTTCTGGGGAAAGTAGATAAATAATGTTGCAATAGTCAGTCAAATACAGTGTCTTTTTGAAATTTTAGAGTGAAATACTGTTTTTTGCGGTGCACACTAGATTGGACACTTGAGATATTTGATTTTTTCAAAAATTTCTTTTCTGATTAGAGAATGTGCATGTACTCACGTCCTATGCGATGTATACGCGACTAACAAACGAAGACGGTAGGAACTGAAGCGTTACGTGTCCTTAGCATGAGTTATTTCTAAACCCCTGAGGGACCCAGTATTGCCAAGGAGTGCTGCAACTGTGTCCAGAAATCATTCCCAAACTAATCCGAAGAAGAAGATGGTACAGAAATAAACTGTTTCTGAGCGCGGCAGGAGCCGTTCGATTGATTTGGCATCGAGTTCCACAAAGATTGCCGATGAACTAACTGCCGCTTGCGGGATTCTCGTTTTCGAAATGGACGTGTCGTGTCTTTCGAAAACTATCGGATCACATAGTTCGAGCAATAAATGAAGCCGACACTACGCCTGACTCAATTCATCGACATAAGCGGCTCCCACTTGTAAGGAATGAGCATATAACAAGCGCTAGAAGCGGGCAGCGCTTCTTCGGCAAATTTCCAGCTGTTATGTTCAATTTTGGGAAATTATCGTTTTTATTTATCCTTTTCTGCTGTAAAATTTTTGGGTCGATGACGCGGTTCGATCAACGGAGTATCGGTCGTGTTAACAGCACTCGAACTGACGCTCCTTGCAGAAGCGGACCACTACTGGTGTCTCGATGCAACATCAGCGCCTTCTCCTCAATGGTTTGGTGGGCATTCCTGTAGTGATGGAAGCCTTGAGATTCATTTTGATTCTTGTGAATAGAAGCCAGGACAACCAGTCACTCCTACGCCAATCACTATAAAGGTCTCAAATTCGACCGCTGGTTCCCACTGAACTACCATTCCTTGCTGTCGCTATTGATAGCTTTGTACTAAACTATACATTTGTAATACTATAATATTATACTTCATTGTCTCTAGCAACATCTTAAATCAGTTTCATTGTAATGAATCTATCAATATACACCATTTAATACAACCATCTTAAACTGGAACCCATTTTTTAAGAAAGACTATGTTGAGAATAGAGAAAGTGTGCAGGGCGGGCTTACTCGGCTTTTATTGTACAGAACCATTACAGCTCTCGCGCTCTAAAACTCCATACTAGGGGAGGGATCGTTTGAGAAACTATTCTCTGACGTCGCTTGCAGTATAGGCGCACGATTTCAGACATTAGTTCTATGTTTCCGCATACTTCGTAGAGAAATCAAATTACCTGCTAGTAAATTCTAGATATTCAGACCAATCAGCGAACGAATAGGGGTTTTAATCATCATTATTCGAATATACAACGCAGAAAATTCTCTTTAATGTTTAATATGATTTTCAATCGCTGTGCAAGATGGTTTGAGCTTCCACCATCAAACGTTCTTGATTAACACACCAGATTCCACACAGCTCATAGCTTAAAAATATTAGATGTTATGTGGTAATGAAGCATTCTGATTGAGCCACTCAGTTTACGGACACCGCCTCCCCACTACCCGATCGCTACCATGCGATTGCCGTTTTCCCTACAACTAACTGTAGTGGACTGAGGTGCGAGTGATTATCTGAGTGATAATTCGGGCTCATTCTGGATGTCGGAGCCACCAATGACATCCCTGTTAAGAGGATTTAAGCTGTGCATGAATCTAGTGTGCTTCAGAATTTGTGTTTCGTGTTTTGTTTTTCTCTTTGATACACTCTTTGTGGGCACATCCTTGTGATGTATTAGTAAATAAATAAATAAATAAATAAATAAATAAATAAATAAAAATATTCTGTAATCTTCTATAATATCAATACCAATTAATCTTCCAAAAAGCACGCGAATTGGCGAATAATCACTGACATCTAGCTCACTCTTGGTTTGCTTGACAGATTTTCTTTCAGAGGATTTCAGTGACTCCCGAACAAATTCTATAGTAAACGAAAATTGAAACAATGGGCTTACCTAACTATTTTCAACGGGATGTTCTTAATGTCTTTTGCAGCAACTTGTCTGATAATCACGTCCTCTCTAGACGTGCGGCCGGTCGTCTCATCGTGAATTAGTACAGGGACACCATCTGCCGACAAATGCACGTCAAACTCCACCAGCTCACATTTCGATTGTTTTGCCTAGAAAGCCTTGACAATTTCCATTTGCCAGATTTTGTCTCAATTTTTCTTTACATGTAAAAATGTGAGGAAGCGTTTAAAAGAAATCCCCCCCCCCCCCAAACTGTGCGATCATTGCCTACGATAGTGAAGGCCACGTCAAGGACCGGTAGTGAAAAAGGAGTAAAGACTTGTTGAAAACATCCAGTAGCTTGCTCGAGTTTAACTAGGATGTGATAGTGGAATGACACACTGACGAGCGGAGAGTTAAGGGTAGGCAACGAGGGGCGACGGACTTTTGGCTCGTCCGGGCTGGCACGCGGCGAATCGCGCGGCGGGCTGCGCGGCGATCCGGACGAGGCAAGTCTTCGCGGGCTTTTGCAGTGGAATTCAACACGTCGAACGTGTACAGAAGAAAACCGCAAGGTTCTGCGACTCGAATTACGTTCCAGCACGCACGGAGATTTGACCACAGCAGTGATGGTAAGGAAACTTGGAAACATCAGTAGGAAGAGATGACGAGAAACTAGCATTGTGCTGTTTTAGCAGTCAGAGCGCTCATGTCGTTAGAGGAGGGGGGGGGGAATTCCAGGAGGAGTGAGTGAGTCAATTATTGTGCTTGGAACTAAGCAAGGAGGGGAAGGTAGAAGAAAGAAGGAGAAAAAGTCCTTCTTCCTTTGGTGAGGGGAAAGGGTTCTGGAGGAAGATGTGAGCAATTCTGTTCTCCATGTCTTTTCTCTCCTTTCCTGGGCTAGGCCCTATGTCACCTACCATCGGGCCTGTTTTGAATATTCCTCTTAAAAACATGAACACCGCGATCAGCAAAGCAGCAGCTATTTCAGCAAAATTCTTCAGTGTTTCCTATTCATTTGATGATAGTAGTGCCATTTACTGAAGGTTCTATCTCTCATTGTCAGCTCTTTGCGGTAGCATTCCCTCACGACACAGCAGCTTTCAAATCTTATCACCTGGAAAGCTTAACC